AGTTAATTAGTATTTTTCTTTAATAAATACACATATTTTATCTTATATCTTATCTTATTTTCTTCTTGCTCTATTGAGAGAGCATTTTGTTAAAAGTAAATTCACGTATATTATCTTATTAAGAAGATAATTAAATTTTGTTATAAAGTAAAACATGTATAAATTATCTTATTAAGAAGATAATTATATTTTTGTTAGAAATAAACCTCATATATATCATCTTATTAAAAAGATAATTAGTTATATAATCTCTTGAAGCTATAAAAGTAAATAACTGTTATGAACACAGTCACTATTACTATTTTAAAATAATTACATACACATAATCTTAAAATGGTAATAATATGAGAGATGAATATTAATTCTAATATTATAAAAATATATGATAAAAATAATCACATGCTTATAATAATATTGAGAGAGTCTTTAAAAGATTTATTAATAAGAATACAAATACTATATCATAATAATATATATATATTATTAGTCTTTTTTATTATTATCAAAATTATAATCTTCTAGTTATATAATATAAAATATCAAAAAAATTCATACAGAAGATTCAAGATATAATAAAATAATTAAAATAGTATTCATACAAAAAATTAATTTAAAAGTAAATAAGAGATTATTATAATTAAACTTAATTTTTATTATAATAATCATTATTAAAATTATAAAATAGATATAATAATAAATTATAATTATATAAAATTAATAATAATAAATAAAAAATTAATAATATATAATACTTATAGTAGTATTTTTAAAAGATACTTATTAATATATAAATATAAAAAATAAATAATTATAAATAAAAATATAAAATAGATAATATACTAATTATATTAGTAAAATAAGAAAGAAAAAAAATTTTATTAAAAAATTTTTTATAACTAAAATAATTTAATTATATCATATGATTTTTCTTAATAAAATGAGATGATTATAATATAATAAATTATATATAATATAGTATGTAATGTAATAAAAATCTACAAAATAAAGTATAATTTTATTATATTATATAATTAAATAATATAAATATTTTACTTAATATATAAAAATATTTAATTATTAATAAAAAAACAGAAATTTAAGAGTTATTTCTTATAAAATTAGATCTAAAAATCAATTTAAGAAAGATATTATTAAAGATAATAAAAAGCTAAATATTATTAAAAAAAACAAAAAGATATACTTGAAATTAATAATGATCAAGAAATAAATAATATTAAATTATTTAAAATTCTTAATAAAAACTCAGCAAGAATATTATTTATAAAAAGAAAGTCAAAATTATATTATTAATACTTATTACTATAATTAAATTTTATCTAACAAAAAGTAAAATATAACTATTATTTAACTTATTTAAATCTTTTTATTATAAAAAATATAATTATCAAAAGAGATATATTAAGCTACTATACTTAAATTCAAATTAAAAAAGAGTTATACTTGATCAAAAACTCAAAATAATCTTAATATAATATAAAACTAAATATAATCAATCTAATTATTAATACTGATACTTCTAAATATATTATTTCTTATATTTTTATCAAAGATATAAAAATAAAATTTAAATATTATTGTGATATGAATTTTTAGTAATATATTAGTTAATTATTTATTATTGATCACTTTATATTACAATTTGATTGGATAATTAATTACTTATATTTTATTGAATATTAACTTAAGAAAATATTATTCACAAATATTTATAAAAGATTTTACAAGCATAATGATCATGACAAAAATATTATAGCAAAGTTAGCAAAATTATTATAACAAAACTAGCAATATTATCATAACAAAATTAATATTATAATATCAGTTAAAGTAGTATTTAGATATAATAAAAGTATTATTTGTAGAATCTTTAAAATATATAAAAATAATATATCTTAGCTAGTGAAAAGAATAATTAAGTTAATTAAGTTAAATAATTAAATAGTTTAGATAGATTTTAATTAAAAGAATTTTAAGAAATCTCTCTTATAGAATATATATTGGTGAGATTTGAGTATTCAATTACCAATTTTAACTAATATTACTTTAGATTATATTTGGCTTCCAATTTCTAGTTGTAGTATTGAATACAGTTTTTCATTATATAATTCTCTTTTATCAAGTGACCAACAAAATTTATCCCAAGAATCATTAAAAAAATTAGGCATGATGTATTTTAACAGAATTTAAGATATTCTTATTTTTTTTAATTTTAAATGGCTTTTCATTTCAAGTTTTTTTATTTTTTTATAAAATAAATATGATTTTTTTATATCTAGCCAAAAATGAATTAACTGATTTTTCATCTGAAATAACTTCATCAGTATTCCAAAATCTCTTAAAAAAACCATAACTAATTCTCTGGATTTTAATCGATCGTAGGATTTTTTGATCATGTATATCGCAATAATTATTCATTGCAGAATTTACTAAATTTCAAATTTGATCAGAGAAAATCATCGGAGATCTAAGCTAAAATAAATGTAACCCCTTTTTTTGGGGATCGGTTAAAGCGTAGTCCATCATGTGATCCATGTCCAATAGGGGTGCGCAAATTTTTTGATCACTGGAAAAACAAAGAATATTTACATGAAAACCAATGCCTTTTTTGGGAGATCAGTTCAAGACAAATCCGACACAAGATATGAAAAATGAATATTACTCGAAAACCAATGCCTAAATCTGTCTTGGAATATTAATTAAAATTGTCGGGACTGCAATTTTACATATAATATTTTCTCTGCCCTAACCGTTACCCTTACCCAGACCTTATAAATCATAAAAATCATTAAAAGTAAACTCTGGGGGATTGATCACATGATGGAAACCTGTAACACGTAGAAAAATGATATTTCGACGCGATTTGTAAAGTTGATTTGCTTCGACTTACTCGAAGTAATTAGCTATGAATCAACATGTACTTCTTCACACTAACACGCAAGTTATTTGACGTATATTTTTTATTATAGATGAATGGTGGTACAAAGGCTTGTCTTGGAATAACCGTAAAAACGTACGTAAGCGTCAACAACCGTACAATCAAGTATGTGTAGTTGTCGCTTAATATTTGTCAGCGTGTTAATTTCTCTTTCTTTGTTTGGTAGAGTATATTATAAATCAAAATTCCAATAAAATAGCTGGACTTATTGTAGTTGTAATGTCCAACACTATATTAATTTTACAATATTTCAAGACTAACATCTAATAATTAAATAAATTGAATAGTTTCTTTTGAAGTAAAAAAACTTCCCAACCAATCGTGTGGTCCTTCGGAAATTTTTGTACATCCTGCCACAAAGACCTCCACGTAAGAAATAAAAATATTATTGTTGTTCTTTATTTGCCGAATTCTAATTATTTTAATTATAAAGCAACCGAAATGCTCACACATCAACACCAAATAATGCGGACGCAAAGGTTATTAGTACTTCTCTATTCATAACTAGTCTATTTGGCTTTGCGTTGGAAGTAAGGGAAATACAACTATATTTTCCGAATTCTGAGGGTGCGTGTAAAGGGAAAGGGGAAATACAACTTAATATTGATAGCGATAGTGCAGTGAAAGGCACGATCTTATTGATTAAGATCAAGTGCAACTAGTTCTGACAGATAATTTTTGACTATTTCATTCATTAAAATCTGCATGATTTTATTTATTTTTCAATGTTATAAATAATTGTAACAATATATAGAATGTTAATGTGATTAATGAATAAAAACAAATTATAAAAAATTACTATTAACATTATTCCATTATTTTCGTCATTATCAATAACCTAAACAGCCAATTTGAAATACCTCTCCACTTTTCCAAAAAATCTCGGATATGTCCGTTTAATATAATCGTACATCTTTGCGAGCCCGTCCATGCGTCTCATCCTAAACAATGCTTGGATTTCTTCTTCGGTGGTCAACGACTGTAATTCCAGGAACAAAATAGAGTCTTCAGGTGGACAGTACGGGTTGAGCAGAGATTCGACTTCTTGTGGAATCATTATTGATGACGTAAGAAGATTATTTTTTTCATTGCTTTCTGCTAGTGGTTTTATTAGTAGTTTTTCGAAGGCGGTTAACGATATGTTTTTTGTGGTTTCTTTGCTATTCTCTTTTTTGTTCAATAATTCGAGGATATCCATCATTGTTATACGTGAGATAGGTTTCGAGTTATTTTTTTGGTCCAGTTGATTCCTGATCTCAATTGAAGGAAAGAATGCAAGAGACTAAAAGTACGAATAGAAAAAATCAGCATTGAATTAACTATATTAATGAATAATTCAAAGAACGAGAAATAATATACCAGTGGCAAATCTTCAATTCCCATCATGTAACTAAACAGAGATCTCGTCCAAAGATGACTAGTCTGCATTGCCAAAGCAACACGGTAACATTCTTCTTCATCGCAAAGAAACTGCACAGTATCATAGTCCATCAGCATCAATCGTGCATTAATCTGATATTTATCAATAAGATACTGCATTGAGACCAACAACAGATGCTGGAAATCCACAGCTGCCGATTGCACAACCCAGTTCACCGGTTTGTCAATTAATTGCAGCCCCCACGGTTTTCCAGATTTTAATATGGGGGTTCGCGAGTTTTTCGATCTAATATCATTAGTATAACTATTGTAGTCGATATCATCGAACGCATTTACTGTGTAACTCTCCGATCCGCCATACCAAAAATATTTTGTCTTGTTTTTGAAAAATATGCTTCCTTCTGTCTTTTTATAAAATCTTATTGCTTTATTAATTGTATCTAAATCATTGCCGTTGCTACTATTTTCAGAGCTTTGCAATCTTTCAAGCATTTCATTCACAAACATAAAATTTCCACCAAATGTTCTATTCCCGCCAAATATTCTCCCGTAATCAATTAAACGTGCTTGATTACGTGATACATTTAATTCTCGTGCAGTTCGTGAATGCATATCCGTACCTAACAACGAATCTCCTTGCAAAACATGCCAGCTCATTGCAGTTGCGCCATGAAATCCAAATTGCGAATCGCCGATCAAACTCGCGATCCATAATTCAAGCGACTCGAGTTTCCCACAGACAATTTTGTGCCCTTTTGGTGCTTTGATTTTTTCTCGGTAATTGGCTCCGACATAATTTTCATTTAATGTTTCCGTGGTAAACCAGTCTCGGTCGATAGCACGCCGCATTAATGTACCGATTGACAATACTTGTGGAATTATTATTCCTGTTCCGTTGGTTTGTTCTTGTTCACGTTCTTGTTGTTTCTGGAATCCCATATTATCGGTTATTTGCATATGATCATTATAGACCACCATCATCGTTTTCATTCGAGGTGCTTTATTTTTCCAAAACGCACAGAAAACTTGATTCAACAGTTCAGTAGTCACATATTCATATTCTGATTTTATAGTCCCCTTTTCAATTTTTTCATAGAAGTTTTTTAAGAGAAGAGTTTTTGATATTTGATAATAGCAACCACCAATATCTCCTGCAAAAAGATCATAATCCTCATCATTAACAGAGAAAATACATAATGGCGTAGTAATAGAAGTCGGTGTGAAACTATTATCTTGAATGGGAACTCTATACACGTACCCAAATCGTTTTGAATAATAGATAGGAAAACCTTTCCATGTCAATTTCATTAACATTATTCCAATCTTGCTGCTCGGAGAAATCTTAAGTTGCTCTGTTTTGCTATCCCATAGTTCACGATACCATGTTGGATAACCTGCTAATTTCTTTCCATTAGTAGCAATGCTCCAATCTAATTGCTTTAACCAATGATCATTTCTTATTATTTCCGGGCTCAATTGAACTGCTTCTCTTGCGAGATTCTGCAACACGTGGTCCAATTTACACGATCTCTCTGCGTATATTGTGTCTGACGATTCAATATATTCATTCCAATCTTGTCTAGTAGTTGTCAGAAACATGTTTCCCATGTGAAGCATTCCAGCAAATGATACTGGATGAGGACATATTTTCAAAAAACGTGGAAACACTTTTTGATAAACTTGATGAGTTGCTTCGACATCTTTTGCGCAATATGTCATCAATTTTTGAAACGTTTCTGGTTCCACGATTTCCTCCATTGTCCCGTCCACAAAAATATTACGAGTTGATTTATCCAATTGTTTTTTAAAATGATACTCGTATACTCTATTAAGGCCACTCACAAAAGTTACGTCGTAAACCCCATAAATATTTTTCATCTCAGTACTGTTGGCTTCCCATTTAGCTCTGGCCCAGTTGGGAACACCGGACACGCCATTAACTGCAATATGCAATGCCATTGTATCCAGAAAACTGGTGCCCGATGGTTTGAAATGATATTCTTCTTTTATTCTTGCTCGATCATAACCAATATTATGACCAACTATTATCCTCTCTCTATTTAAAGTACCGATTGGAATAAGATGGCCTTTAACAGTCGGTTCATAATTTTCGATTCCTTTTTCTCTGTTTTCCTTATGTTTTATCAACCGAGGAGACACCCAAGAATACCAAGCAGTTGGCGAAGCAGCAGTGGCAAGCACAGAAAACGGACAATCAGGGACAAGTGTTTCCACATCAAAGCATAAAACTTCTTCATTTGGAAAAGCTACAGGTTCCGGCGAATTGTCTTTCCCATAACGTGTCCAACCAGATTTAAAAACCCATGCTCCTGGAGCCGGGATATTAGGCAACGATACACTCGCAAATTTCCGTGCTAGCTCCCGCACGGGTCTCGCTTGATTCTCACCGATTCGCCAAAAGTGTTCAGCGATCGTGTCTCCATTTAGAGATGGCAACGTAAATTCATTCGTCAACGATTGCTGTGTTGTTAATGGTGATGGCAGCGGTACTCCATTCGAATCTGTCTTAAAGATTCCTTGCCTTACTAAATGTTCTACCGCGATTTTTTGTATTTCACGTGGTGGTGATGGACGATTCTTGAATATTTGCTTATGCAACCATGTTGGTAGCATTTCCATACCAAGGTGGTTCTTGTAATCTATATTGTAATAATAAGTAATACAATCAGATTAACTTGAATATTATATTAAGAGATATCGTAAAGCGCTGACTATTGTCAATAATAATACCTGCTACTAGCTATCTGTTTGAAACTAGATACCGTAAGTAGGCGAACCACGAAACATGATAGTTGTGTTGTAAGAGAGGAATACCGAACGGGCTAAGCTCTATCACTACTTTAAAAAAAGTAAATCTGCCAAACTTACCTTTTATAAATATTTAATCAGTATCTAAAATGTTAATATTTAAAGAAAAGCAAGGTGTAAAAAGAAAAGAGAATAGTAAAGGCTACACCAAAAGATAGTCAACGCTTTACAAATAAAATATACGAAGAGGCATGTCGCTTAAACCTTACTCTGTTGTCTCAAGTGTAAAACTTTACGAAAAACTTGTTGCCCAAAGTGATAGCGTGTAAATGAAAGTGACTTCAATATTCTTTGGTGATGAGTTTCGTCATAAAGACGCGCCTTGAGCATCATTAAGTTCTCGGTTATATAATGTTGACGCGTTTTCTCTCGGTCTTGTCGCAGTTGGCACGTGTACAGATCTAACCTAATTTTTAAATTTTTTAAAATTGAATATCTATTTCGCGTGCGAATATTTAATAAATAATGACATTTCCCTCCGGAACTGAACAATTTCACGATGCAGATACCGAGGAAAAAAATGCGAATAAAGCACCACCCTCATCGTCTCATATTGACAGTTATATCAACGAACTTAATGAATACCTGGGTGATTTTTTACAAAATTCTCAACCTTCCTATAATCCAAACGCTGACATTATAAAAGACGAAAAGACAATTCAGAAGGAACTACTTAAGTCTAAAGAAGAACGAGAGAAGAATTCTTTAAAAAAAGAAGATAATAATAATAATAATAATAATAATAATAATAATAAAACTGATAGTGACCAAGAAGCCAAGAAAAACAAATACAAGTTTTTCTCATTTGATCATTCGGTCCACACGTTTAATCCTAATACAAACGGCTCTTTAGAAACAACACAAAAAGAGCTTGAGAATGAAGAGGTTCAACGACAACAGTACGAAACAGCTATTTATGAACTTGAACAACAACAGCATGAATCGGATGATAAAGATGAAGACACCAAATATGCACAAGAACTTGCAGCTGGCAGAGTAATTTCCGAGCAAAAAAGAGCAATCACTCAAGGAGCTTTATTGAACTGTGCAGACTTGGACTGGGAATTACGAGAATGTTTCATGCGTGGCACGTTTTGGCAACGTCTTACAATGTGTCATGAACCGAGAGAGACGTTTTGGAAGTGTGTTACGAGGCAAAAGGTATTTTTTATTTTTGTTATTAATTTTTGTTAAATTATATCATTATTAATGTTTATGAAATGGAATAAATTATATTAAATATTAGGAACTTTTAAAAGAATTGAATTATTACGCGCCTTCAAAATCAGATCAGGAAAATCAAGAAATACTAGATAAAGCCGACTCAATCGTTCAAGAAGAGAGGCGAAATGCGAATTAAATATGAAATCATAATTTATTGTTATTAAAATAATTCGACAGTCATCTTCAAAAAGAATTTGCTCTTAAATAAAAACTTAATATTAACTATTTTGACTATTTGGCCTGGTTAATATTATATATCATTTAATCTTCTTTGTTCAGGGCTTTCAGCATTTAATTTCGAATGCAATAGTCGTTATGTATTAATTTAAAAAAGCGGTTGTATCATTTCACAAATTTTACGTATTATGCTCAAAAAAATTATATTCTTCTGGTTTTTCTCGGACGACATCCATTAAATGGAATCGGAGTAGCATCTGTAACTCGTTTAATATTCCATCCATTCTCAGGTGCAGTCAATGCCTTAAATGCAGCATCCCGTCCGGGTCCAAACCCCTTCAACACAATCTCCACATCCATAATCTTTATGTTTTTCTCTTTAGCCTTAGTCGCAATCGCCACAGCAGTCTGATGTGCCGCCTCGTACCCGCCACGATGTGATTTTTTGAAACCGACCGTGCCACCCGATTGCCTGACTAACGGGTTGTGTTTATTATCAGTTAGTGTGATGATTGTGTTGTTGTAGGAGGCAGTCACGTAAATAAAGTGCGTTGATGCCGACCGTTCTAACATGTCTTTTAGAAGACGGGTTACGTCTGACTTTACTTGTCGATCGCGTTCTTGCATTACTAGTTTTGATGCCGTCGAGGAGATTGGCGAGTTGGTGAACTGGGATTGGAAAAGTTGTTGGGAACGCTGTTGCGATGTATTTTTGTTGATTGCTGATGAGAAAGCGTCCATCCCTGATGTGGATGACCGCTGCTGAGAAGATGGAGGGTTTATTAATGGTGAATCAGATGATTCATTATTTTTATTTGTTCTATTGTTGTTGCCATCTTCATTCGTAAATAATCCTAAAGGATCGTTGCTTTTTGATGAAGACGAATACTGTCGAAAAAAGTGACCGTTAATATATTGGCTCTTTTCTCTTTTTAAATATCCAATGCCTATAATGTAAGAATGCAATTTTTTATTTTGTCTTTTATTTCTGATGCAAACAAAAGTTTCTGGTTGTCTAAAAATAGGATTAGGACGAGAAGAAAACACGGCAAGCCTGAGAGAAGTCATTCTTGTAAATATAATAAAATTCTTCGAAATTTGAATTGATTCTATTACATGCGAGAATGAGTCATAAATTTAATTGTGGCAAATTTTTTATGTACACTAAAACTTCGTTAATGAAGATATCGGGTAATCGAAAAACTCTTCACTATAGCTTATAACGAGAGAATAGTATATATCGAGAGTTTCACTATAACGGCGCGACAAAAAATCAGCACTAAAGTAAACAATATTTATTTGGTTTAAGCAAACCTATATATATATATATAAAATTAATATTTTGCGTAGCTTCATATTAAGCTACTGTATGTAATAAAGATAATTTTGTGATGATATATGTAAATGAGAGTAATAATTAATAATAATACATAACAAAATTGTCCCTTTTCTAGTAGTGAAAATTGTCTCTGGGAAAATTACAGTTTACTAATAACAAAATAATATAACGAAAGAAAAAAATATTAGATGAATTTCCATATGTGTTATTGAGATATAAACGCGTTTTTTATTCGGTATCCCTTCGACGAGATCCTCCTACTCTAGCGCCGCGCATTTGTCGAGGCACCGGAGATGGAGGTGCAACCGCCAACGGAACATCATCGTCTTCATCTTCTTCATAGGATCCATAACTTTCATAGTAAGAACCTCGGCGAGAATTGGGGCCACTTCCAGTATCCAAATATTGTTGATTGCCATAAAATCTGCTTGACGGTCTTGAATCCCCTCCTATTGGTGAGGGAGGTCCATATTGTCTGGTATATGCGTATTCTCTTTCGCCCGCTAATAATTGTTGTCGCTGTTCCATTAATCGGCGTTCACGTTCCTTTTCAAGTGCCAGTTCTCGATCATATTCAACCTGTCTGCCTATTTTACGTTGTCTTTCTCGGGCAGTAATTGCTCCAACTAATCCATACTGCGGATCCTTTTGTCGTTCCTCCAATTGAATAAGTGGTGCTCCTGTTTCTCGAGCCAAATATTCTTGTTCACGTGCAGAAAGTTGTTGTGATAAGGCGCCTAATAACGTTGGTCGTGGCTCAAATCCACGTTCATCATAATATTCGTCTTCATAATAAGAATCACGTTGCTCGCGCATATAGTCTACTTGGCCACCGCTTGTACGTCTTCGCCCTGTAGGATTAACAATTGATCTAGGACGCCCTCCTATTGGATTAGTACGATCCTCTTCATAATAATCGCGAGGTGGCATTAACGAGTTTCGACGATTTTCCCCTAACGCAGCAAAATTGCCAACACCTCGAGGATCACCGTATTCGTTTTCCCAATATTGGTTATTTGGAGACACTGACCTCGGAGGTGTATTAGCATAACCCCTCGTATAAGGAGGTATGGCACCTTCACCAGAATCTGTTACAAGCATGACAAGAGGTTCTTGAGATGATGTGTGTGAAATAGATGAGTTACTACTTCCTTCACTGGAATTACGGGGTCTTGTTTTTGGTTTACCAGCATTTTTTCTCTTGTCACTTTGCTTAGTAGGTTTGAAAACCCTTCGTGGTTTGGTCATTAAATCTGCATCGTCTTCGTTTTCCGATTTTGAGGATTCATTTGAGGATTCACTACTTTCCGTTGATATTTGCTTCTCTTTCTTTTTTTCTTTAACATTATCTTTATCATCCGAGTTGAATGATGTTCCTGGTGCAGAATCCAATGTCAGAGAACTAAAGTCTACATCCAAAGCGAATCTCGGCAACTCAAAATTGTCTGTCACAATTTGATCTATTTTATCAGTGGCTTTTGTTTTTCCCTTAGCAGGAGATGCACTATCCGAATCTTTATTATTAGATTCATCATTATCACTTTCTTCAATTGCACTCTCGTAATCAACTTCGTCAGACTCGGATGATTCCTCCAAACTATCTACAATTGCGCTCACTTTTTTCATCGGTTTCTTACCCTTCGATCGTCCCCTTGACGTTGTTTCTTCTGGTTTATAAGCTTGAGCCGGTTGCTGACGACTGCGTATAGATGCACGTCCTAGTGGGACATGGTCATCCTTAACATCAGATGAATATTCATCTTTGGCGCGTCCACGAGCTATTGGCTGAATAGATTGTGATGTAGGATAATAATTTCGATCAGATGAATATGGATAGTTTGGACTTTTAGGAGAATATTGAGGTGAACGATCCGCATACGGAGCTTTTGGTGACATATAACCATATTGTCCGTGCGGGGAATTCTGTCGATAGTCGCCAGAATATTGTCGAACTTCTTCATAGTCTTGGCGGGAAATCAATTCACGTGGCCTAGGCCGCGCTGACAATTGAGGCGGGATTACTTTCGGTGATTTTTCCTCTTCATCGTCTTCGCTATCAGATGGTTTAGGTGCTACCTTGACTTTTTTCTTTTTACCTTTGCCGACATCTTTGGTGGTGGTTGGCAAATTAGCGCCAAAATTTGAAGATGAAGGCGAATTTAATTTGCTCGATTTTTTCTTGTTTACTTTTGAGGATTTAACTACATCGACAACTTCCTCTGGCTCCTCTTTTTGTTCATCTTGACTTTCTTCACTATCCGTTACGCTTTCTTCCGTATCATCTTCTTCCTCTTCGCTATCTGATGGAAGGGGAGATACTCGTATTTTGGATTTCTTTTTTGGATTAGGTGGCGGGTTTTTAAATGACACTGTTCTTTTAGGTTTTGGTTTTGGTCTCTTTGATGACGGTGATAATTGTGCAGGCACTTCCTCTTCTTTACGTTCATCAATTGCCGTCAATATCTCTGACATAAGATCAGCACTACCCAAATTTTCAAGGGAAGTATCACCGAATTGAAGATGTTCATCTTTTTCATTTTTATTTTCTTCTAATGAATCCAATTTTACGTCATCAGCTATGGTAATTTTGGCATTCGCTTGTGTATTTTTCAGTAGCGTAGGGTCATCGACTTCCGAATCCGTATCAGTTTCTGTATTATTTGATTCTTCCTCTTCAGAATCATCCTCCTCACTGCTAGGCACTTGCTTGTGACGTCCGGTTTTCTCCTTTCGAGGCTTCTGTGCCATAGCAGAGAGTCGACTTTCTCTTTTCTCACCATTTAAAGATGATGTTGTGTTCGGCGAAGATGGAGCATCTTTAAATAAATTAAATTTATAAGATATAGGCGAATTTATCGATCCCAATCCTTTACCCTGCGAATGGTGTTGCAAATATCCAGACGATCGAGATGATGATTGCTGTCCCGATCTTGCTGAAGCTGACGACCCTGAACTCTGTGTAGAAGACACTGATTCGTTAGAAAATCCTCTTTGCCGCGAAGAACTATCAGAGAGCCCGTTCGTAACAATTTGCGGTGGTATTGAACCACTTGATTTTCGTGAACTTCGCGCAGCAGGTTGAGCGTGATCAAATTCATTTTCGGCATTTACCTCTTGAGAATTTTCAAGTTTTTGTTGATATAATTTCCTAAGAATCTCAGCAAATTCTGCTTTTACATCAGCCAATGATTGTTGCATGTCAACATGCTCAACTTCGGAAATATCCAAGAATAATTTAGTGACACTTTTCACAATTGGCACAGCAAAAAGAGGCGAATCTGGATCCTTGAAATCATACAAATATTCCTTGGGACGACCATACAATTTAAAACTATCACAAAAAGAAACCAACCATTTTGCCATTTCACTCGAATTTTCCGCTGTTAACAGCACAAAATCTCCAGGTTTCGAATCCGTTGATGATTTTTCCGCAAAAATATCTCCTTCGACACGAAACAACGTTGTTTTCTCTATTGTCGACGAAGATTCTTGGTATACAGCATAAGCTTGCAGGACATTGGCCATTGACATGAAAGGTTTTTTTGACTTTTTTGTTTCGTAGAAAGTCGCTTGCCCTCTATTAAATGCCAAATCTTTTTTCTTCTTTTCTTCTACGCGGTGATCAGATACGACGACCCAACATTTCTGCCATTCTTTGGTTCCTGCAAATCGTACTTGAAGATACCCCTCTAGTTTGCCTTTTACTAATGGAGTGCCTGATAAGAATTCTTTGAATCCGGGTCGTCTGAACAACGTCGCTGTGAAAACTTCCTGCATTTTTGATCCCTCGAAACATGACAGACGAATTGCAAGCACCCATTGATTGAGTAAAGATAAACTTGGGGTTTGAAGATAATACCGATCACCATCGCCACCATCAAGCAAAAATACATGTTCACGGGTTAATATGCTTTCTGATACTTTTCCCAGTATTTCCACACTAGAATTTGCTATATTGATGATTGTAGGATTTGGACTAGCTATCCCTGGTGGCTCATTATCATCAGCTACCCTCCATAAGTAGAGCGAGGAACCACATATTTCTGCATAGAATTCACACCAGTCTTCAGTTGTGGGCTTACGCCCGTCTCGCCAACTTTGGTCTTGCTTACATAAATAACCTTCAATATAAGTTTTTCGGAAAAAAAAATCAAAAAGATGGAGAACGGGACGCATTTCATACGATATTTGGTCAGACTGTGCAGATAGACGTCGACGTGCTTTCTTTAATATGGCAGCAGGACGTAGAGGCGACTCTCTAGGTCCAACTTTTAGGAACCCATCGGAACCAGCAGAATTTAACTTTGGTTTATGGGTAGGAGTGAAATATGTAGATTCTGTTGTTTTATAAAAGGTATTGTCAACATTCTCTTTATCGTGGTCAACTCTTTCCTCGTCCTGAGTTTGAGAGACTATACTATTTGTTGAAGAAGACGAAGAAGTTCGAGATGATGGCAGTTTCTGTTCTGCCATTGTTTCACTATTCAAGTTTGTACAAAAAACTAGAAACCAACACGTTTACACCGCGACTATATACCGAGCCGCAGCTCTCGTTCTTATATGCTTTGACGTACCCAAATAGGAAAAAAAATTGAATTAAATGAATCAAAGGTTATAAATCGTTTTTTCGTAATCAATTTGATAGAGGTAAAAGTTACAGCCACTTTAAAACGAAGAAATATTTTTTTCCTTCAAGCTAAACTTGTTTACTATAATTTCATGTGGAAGGCCAAATTTACACAATAATAATAATAATAGTATATTTATATAAATATATAATTAAATTTTTTTTGTTTTCTAAGGAGAATAAACTATAATATATAAAAAGAATTTGATAAGATGATAAGATGATGAATGAAATGATAATGGTAACCTCGATAAATTCAATGACTGATACAAAAATAAAACACACAAAAATATACATTATGTAGAACGTACCATCAAATGTGGGGAAAGAGTTCTATTGTTATTGTAACTATTTTTATATCTCGATATGCAAATTGGGTTTCTATTTAGACAAATGACAAGTACACTTTGCCCCGGAATAGTTAAACTGTCACGTTTCGCGTGAAAATATTTAAACTGGATGTTTATCATTTTAAAATTTAAATATCAAATGTCCATTAACATCTTAAAAATGGTTTAAATTCTTATTTACGTTCTCTTACTCGTGTTCCAGCAGTTATATCTCTTACTTATGAATTTAACACGAACCTCTTTTTCGTGTTTCAATAAGTTATATCTTTTTAAGATTCTTCCAATCTCAAAATATATTGATTTATTGAAAAGTAAGTTTTTTTGTGGTCAACTAGCACATTCCATGTTTTATTTGATTTGATTTGTTCTTAGATTTTTTTTATCATGATGGGAATATTAAAATTTATCATGCTAGTGTTTTTTTGGATGCCTTTACCATCAGCAGATTTCTTTAGATGATGTAGGCGATAATTGCGTGGCTTTTGTGCCTTTTTCATAGTTATTTTTTTAAAAGTGATTTGCATTTTTAGAAGCCCCTTTATATGGTTGATAGCGTATGCTAATATTTTCTATCGAAACCATCGAATTTGACGCGTAATAATGATAGATGTTTTGTCAATAACAAAAGTACGCGTAAGCAATAAAAAATGATATTATATCAAATTTATAAAAAAATATTACAATTGTGCAACTTAAATGATCGAATTTGCGAAACAATGGATGAACAGTCGCATATAAGAATAAATCACTGGAACTTTAATTTCTAGTGTTATATGTATATGTACATGTATTCGGTAATGATATCATTATAGTAAAAAAAAAAGAGGAATCGTATCAATTCTTTACAACATGAATATCTTTGTCCCTTTGTAACAATGAGCTTAGTTGTGTCAGTATTTTCAGTGCATGTACATGTATCATCTAATTGTTTAATATAAACATTCAAGAATAGCCAATCCCGTTCTTTCCGATAAATAAAGCATTATATATGCCATCCATCAAATGTACGCACAGAATTTTTTCCGACGTCTATATCAGTGGTGTTTGATCATAATGATATATTTATTTTCCGGTATTAATTTATAATAATCCTTATTTGTAATTGTCTTTTTTTATTTTCAGGCATCTATTTCGGCAAAGATAGCAAAAGCTATGATTTTCAATGCCAAACTAATCAATCAATCTTTTTAAACTCAAAAAATACGAACTTGATCTAATGTATCCTCGCTGCTTATGCTTTTATTTTCATTTTTATACCTGATAAACGCCGGGATACGTAATTCGTTTTTGTATTTTAATTTTTCTCGTAACAGGCGATTGGTTTCTCACCACATCAAACATGTATAATCATTATCCAAACGTTCTTTGGACCATAACACCAACACAGTCTTTGCATTGAATGAAAAATTTCTTATGGTAGTGGCTGTGTATGGGGCATTTGATATTTTTACTATCTACTATTTAAATAACGATAACGACTAATTCCACCTATAAATCTATAAATAGAAATTAGACGAAGTTTGTATGGTTGAAAATGCAATAGACAAAATGATAGCATGAAAGTGCATGATGACTATTCGATGATTCATAAAATCTCATTTATACGCGTAAACACAAAGAAATTGAACGTTAATATCTAATTGGTAATTTTTTTGCAAGTCACTCGAGATATTCTCTCTCTTCAATTTCATGTGCTATGCTTAAATCGAAATCTCTTTAGCACCAGAGAACAATAATTAAAGAAATTGGTGAAACTAATATCAAATGTTATTTTACCTTGGAACAAACGAAGAGAAATTTGTAAGACTTAATCATTCGATATAATTTTTATTGCCTCGTTTAATCTTAGGTTTTGCTGCTGCTGCGTTTTTTTCATCATTTTCACGTTTTCGTTTCTTGTTATTACTATTCTTACCGCCATTTTCAATGTTCGATTTATATTTTTCCTGAGCAACTTCCTTTGCGCGCTGCTTTTCTTTTTTCGTTTGGAACCAAGTACGCGCCGGTCGACTGTATATCGCTTTCTCGTGTTTCAACAGATTCTCACTCTTTGTAATCTCCATCTCCGCCCGTTGTACTTCTTTTTCTTGTTTCTCCTCCATGAGAACATGCGCAACTTTTTCGCGGAGACTGGATAATTTTTTGATGTATTTTGTAATTACTTCGATTGGAACGACGCGACGTTTTATTTGTTGTTTGGTGTTCGCGTGTTTTACAATTGTTTTGAGAATTTTGCGGTCGGATTCGCCACAGAGCGTGACGGACCTGTGCGGTTATTGTTAAAATTGTGTGTATATATGAACATAATGAAATTTGTAGATGTTTATATATGTCAAATACAAACCGCCCATTTCGGCCAGCACGAGCTGTTCTACCTACGCGATGTAGATAATGTGCGTAGCTTTGTGGCATATCAAAATTTATGACCGTTTCGATTCCTTTTATATCTAATCCACGAGAAGCCAAATCAGTTGCCAAAAGAAAATTCACTTTACCATCACGGAATGCTTCTAAAGCTTCCAACCGCTGGCAAAAAATTCAGAATTCAAGTTAATTATAAAAATTAATAAACAAAAAATCAACAAAAATTCAAAAACAGTAATAATAAAACCTACCTGCTCTTGCGAAAGATTTCCGTGAAGCTCAGCCGCCTTTAACCCCATCAACCCAAACACAACTTTCATCTCATGGGCCAACGCTTTACTCTTCAAAAAAATGATCACGCGGGCCTTAAAAGTACGACAACAAAGTGCCAATAATATAGCTTGTCGATCATCTTCACGGTGTTTTCTTATTCGTACGAATTCCTGGGTGAGTCGCGCGGCGGTCGCTTTTGCAGAGTCGACCATTAGTCGTACTGGACGATTCAATGAGAGTCGGATAAGTTCATCGACATTGTCGGTCATGGTGGCGGAGAATAACATTGTTTGTCGTGATTTTGGACATGCTTTTATGATTTCGTTTAGTTCTGCTGAGAAGCCATCTTCTAGCATTCTATCATAGATATTATTTTGATTAATTGAATACATACTCTTAAAAATAATCCAAATCCAATAGTATAATGTCGTACCTATCTGCTTCATCTATTACTAGGATTTCAATGGTATCTAGCGAAAACGATATGGAATTACGAATGTGATCTATAAGACGACCCGGTGTAGCAATTACTATATCAGGTCGTTGCCTTAATTCGGCCTCTTGTACTTTTAGAGATAAACCGCCTGTATATGCCGAAAGTTTAGCTTAAATAATCATAAACGCACTGACATTTATTACGTAATATCCATTTATATACACAGTGACTCTTTATAGTGAAAAATTTCTATATCGAGATTTTCTAAAAATTTGATTAGTAAATCTATTATATCGAATGGATTTTATTTTTGATATTATCCGTTATAAAGAGTCACTGTGCAGTCTCTACCCACCAACACCTCACATACGTAAATCACGTAATCAAATATCAGTGGTATTAATTAACGTAAGAATTTCTGGACCCCAACCCCCGCCTCTAAAAATATTGCCTAATAAATGTCAGCGTTCTAAGATGCGCAACTCTCTTTTAAAGAAGCAACTCACCAACACACAAACAAAGCGTAGTATCCGTAAACGAGGCAATCTTAGTTGCCACACTATGACACTGAATCGCCAATTCACGCGTTGGTGCAAGAATCAAAACTCTTGTGGTCTGGTCTTGCCTGGGCCTATATAGCAACCTTTCGAGAATAGGTATTATAAACGCAGCAGTCTTACCAGATCCAGTGATTGCACCACCGCAAATGTCTTTTCCCATTAATGCAACAGGGATTGTTTGCACTTGGATTGGAGTCGGTTGCACGAATCCTAGTTGACTTAAACCTTTAAGAATTGGCCGGGATAGGTTCATCGATTGAAATGAGTCGATTAAGTCGCTTTTGTGGTTTAATTCTGATTCATCGGCGAAAAAGGCTTTTTTGCGCTGTAAATTGGACATGTTTGAAAATTAGTTTCCTTTTTTTAATAAAGTTTATAAGAAATAAAAAGGAATGTATAGATTGACACCTCTTTTTCGTATTCATTTTCTTCTTCGCTGGTAATATCATCATGAGCATCAATTTCTTGATTGTAGTCGTCATTATCATTATCATTATCATCCGAGTCTTCTTCGTCACTACTTGTTGTGTCTTCATCAACCTCTTCTTCTTCGTTAGAAAATCTGGCGCCGCCACCAAATCCATCACCAGCTACTCAGAATTAATATTATAATTATGATAACAGTACTTTTTTAGGATATTACGAAAATGTAAATTTACCGATATCTTCGTCATCGTCATCAATATTGATGGCACTATCATTATCATCCTTCTTATTTTTATATTTATTATTAATTGACATATCTTTTTCACTTTCACTTTCTTCATCCCCGTTTTCTAATAATAAATTATGATTAAAACTTATTTTCCAAGTATTTATAAACGAATAAATACGACTGATCATACCATCATTATCGCCTTTTTTCTTCGTTGAAGATTCATTATTTGTAGAAGATGTAGGCTTTTTTTTTTTATTTGCCAAAACTGTAGTATCAGATGATCCTGTACTGCTTTTCTTGTTGTCCCTTATCTTTGCAATAATCTCATCGATTGATACGCGTGCCTTTTTTTCGTATAGAATAAAATTAATAATCGTGATATTTGAGTTCATATATTAACAAACATGATTTCAAGTCACAAAATTTTGAATTTCGTTATAAAAATCTTCTCTTTTTATAACACGATATTTGATGTCAAATAATATGTTGAAGTAATTCGTGATAAACAAAAAGTAGACACGAAAAAAAATTAAATTTGGGTGGGTCAGTAGAAAACAAGCAAATCAATTTGCTTGGTTTCTATTGACCCATTTTAATCAATCCCATCCTAAATCGAACCACAAAAAAAATTACCGAATTCTTAAGCTTCAATGCAGCCTTCGCCGCTTCAAAATCCCAAGACTGTTTCAAACCAACATGCGCACAACCACCCTCAATATCGAATGTGAACTCAGGATTAAACGTATCAGTTTCGATGACAGGATCAATTATTTTTTTATCTTTCGTTTCGGAACTCTGTTTCGTTGACGTGTTCTTATTGCCAGTACTATTGTCACCACCAATGTTTATTTCTTCTTGTTTTATATAATTCTTGTTTTTCTTTTTTCTCTTTTTTTTATTCTTTGCAGCCTTTTTTGAGCTTTTAGTTGTAGAGATTTCGGGTTCTTTACGTCCTTCTTGTTCTTTTAAATTTTGTGTAAGGTCCTCTACTTCGGAGTCGACGTCCTCTAGTGTCATAATAAAGTCGTTAGCCATTTTCTCAACAAGGCGAAAAAATTTCTAACACGTGATAAGAACAATTCGCGGATCTGAATTTAAATTTGGACGTTCGCGAATTTTATTAAAGACAAACATTGAAATAATGGAAAACACTATAGGTAACCTTTTTTATAGTTATTTAATTCTTTACTGTTTTTATAGTAATTAAAAGACGTTTGCTTGATTGCAGCACTGGAAAAAGCCGTGTTACCTTCTGCCAATGAAGTCACAGTCGCAGAAATTGACGGGGCGCTATGTATGTTGATAAATAAAATAATGGATCTTTTTCTGAGATTCACAAAAAACAGATTTATTAAACAATCACTCGATTTTTATATAGTAAATCTAAGTAATTCCAAAGATCCAAAAGAAGATTTGTATGCAAAATCCGAGGCATGTAACTAAATAAATTTTTTCAATAAGTAAACTAAAATATTTTGGATTAGAATCTAAGATTTTTGAAATAATATATATAATATTGTTGTTCAGGGTGTAGTATATCCAATCTTACGGATTCCGTTCGACATCCCAATCAATGAAAACAGAGAAGCCCAAAAACCAACCAAAACATTGCCAAATTTCAAAATTTTTAGAAAATCTCCTCAAACTAAAATGATAGATTATTACTATCAATGGAAATATGAATTTGAGTATGTAGTGTTAACATATCTTTATTTGACCGTTATCCATTGATTATGATATCGAATTTGAAACATTTAAAAAAAATTAGGAACTATATAGAGGAATCAAAAAAAAGGATTGCATTTTCTCTTCCACCATTCTTCGGGAACTTGTTTTACGATATTCCCACCGAAAGCTATATTACTTTATTACGAGAGAAAATTAACAGTTCACCTGCAAGATTATTAGCTTGGCATTCATATAACTCGTTATTTGCTGTTGCGCATAGATTGGATGCTATTTTTGTGTATGATCTACGGGTTGATTGTAAAGTCAAAACTTTCATATTTTCGCATTATTGATTAATATTTTTTATGGAGAATCTAACGTGAATCTTTGATTTTTTATAATAAAGCGTGGTTTCCTGAGGCTTTAGAAACGGATTTGCAAATGGAGATCACTTGTATGGCATGGAAGCCATTAGGTGGAAATATGTTGGCTGTGGGTTGTTGGTATATATCATATATATTTTTGTTGTAGTTTATTAGTTGATTCTTATAAATTTGCTAACTTTGATTATTTATTTTTATACTCATATAAAGTCGTGGAATATGTCTTTGGGAGATGCCATTACGCGCCAACACAAGTTTCTCGCAAGAAAACGTTGCTTCCACCAATACAATAGCTCCTGCATGGATGCATTATATGAACTATCCTGGACACGATAACATTGTCACGTTGGCTTGGAATCCTAACGGAAAATATCCTCAACTAAACATGCTGATTAACACATCATATCATTTATTGATATATTTCCTTTGACCACGAAAATATTACTAACTCACGTTCCTAGCAACAGGATCGGTAGACGGTTCGATTGTTCTCTGGGACACGGCTTTTCAAACAGGTCAAGTGTTGACTACAACGTGTCGGTCGTGTTTGTTGAGCTGGAGTCCTGATGGGAAATATTTGTTGTCGGGGACATTGTAAGGTTTGGACTTAGTTACTATCACTATAATATCAGTTAATAAGCAGGATTGTTTATCATTATAATAATTCAAATAGAAAAGGTTATCTCATAATATGGGAAACACGAAGCTGGACTTCTAAAATTGTCATCGAAGAAAGGGAAGAGATTCTTAAGGTATTTTGACCGGATAATTAACTGATCCTCCGTCCTTCAATATTAACGCGTGAAAATGGATTCCTGAGCAAAGATTGTAAATAAACAGTATATCTTATCTCTCTCTTAAGAGCGCTTGTTGGACAGCAAACTCAAAATATGTATTTTTAGCCTTCAACGATTCAGCTTTCATTGCAACATTGGCTATAACTTCCGAATTTCATATGAAATTTCTTCCTCGTCAATATACATCTTATCCCGATGACGAGTAAATACCAGTTTCTTCTAATTTTTTATTCGAAGCTTACACGTATGTACATAATAATCACATGTTTAATTTCAACGAAAAAGAATCGGCGGAATCATAGAGTCTCTCGCCATAGACTCCATCGGCGAACGATTAGCAGTCTGTTTTGAAGAGACCAAACTTGTCGCCGTGTATAACGTTAATCAGGCTTTGAACGTGCCAACAGACAGTAGCTCGGGGATCTTGTCAAATGTGAAGTTTATCAGAGGGCCAGTATGGAATGAGTTAAAAGATCAGGGGCAAATTGTTGCTCCATCACCACCAAAGCCTGTTGCAATTAGTTTTGCGAATGAGTATGTTCGTGGTGGATTGTTAAGTGTGGTTTGTAATTTTTTTTTGGTTTAATAATTATTGTTATGCATTCCTGTAATGGATCAATTTTTCTTTTGCGTTAATTCACTTCATTTTTATGATTTAGATATGGGAAGATGGTAAAATCTCAATGATTCCTTTCATATACCATTCAAAGAGTTCTCAATAAAAGATTATAGAACACATAAATATTAATAATGCTAGATTATAAAATTTCTATTGGGTACAAGTTAACAATAAACAGAATTACGAATAAATAACTAACTATATTCTGTATTATTTTATATGCGTGCGATAAAATACGCTGTGTGTTAAAATTTTCGAATTTAAAAATCGTTATATTCAAATCTTTTCTAGAAAATGCAACTATAAAAAGCTTTACTGTTTACAGAAAAATCTTTCGCCTAAATAAATGATTTGTGATTTTTTTGTAACAAGTTCGTAATCAATAAATTCACCCGGTGTTCATATCTTCTTCCCTGACGTTACAGGCTTTTTGTGGTGGATTACCTCTTCGAGCTAAGAGTTGCTGCCGAGCTAATATCGTCTTTGGCGAAGGTAAGCCTCTTTATTCGGAAGGATAGTTTGAAGGTTGCCATCACAATAGGAGGTAACGTTTGATATAACTTTTTGCGACTTTTACTAACTTGCGCTTTCGGCGCCTCTTTCCTTGGCATCCAATAAATGCACCGATAATATATTTAGCATTATTATTAGGATTCTACATATTACTTAAATGTGGTTTGCGTTTAATGTTGTAGTCCGAGACAATTTTAACTCGGAATACCAGAGAATACAATATGCGTTCAAAGATTCGATGATTCACGGAATTCTGCAATTCGCACTACATATCACACTTCACTACGTTCTTCATCGATACAAGAGCCAAGATATCCATTGTTGAAAGTTTTGTTTTCATTTTGATTTTTTGAATCTAGCATATCCGCAAATATGCCGAATCATGATTCGTTCTGTTTAATTTTGGATGATATCTCACATTTTGCCGATTGTTGAAAGAAATTTCGGCTGAGATGACCAGATGCGGGAAACTTAAAAAGGTATTGCAACAAAATTATCAGCAACACCTTTCTGTGCTGGAACTGTTGATAATGGTATATGGGTTACGTCAACGCGTCAGAGATAAAAAAAATAAGTATCGGTTGACTCGTCTTCCATCTCTGACATAAAATGAAATTTAGTATCGAAGCATTTGTCTGCTGGTTGATTGACCGATATAAATATGTTTTGTCATAATCGCCTTATTTTTCTTTATCATGAAACTTTTCAGAGTAGATTTCACTGGTTTGAAAGGGAATCTGCTCCCGACCTTTTATTATTGGTAATGTTTCGTTCAAGAGAATTCTTGTTCACATTGACGATTTCCAAACTATCTTTGATTGGGAGCATCAATGGCCAAAGCATCAGAATCTCTTTTATCTGAACTGATGAGCTTCATTAGAAGACCGATATTGCATTATGTCCAAACTTTCGTTTCAGGTGTCGCATGAGGTAGCTGCAGTGCAGAAGTAACCGGCATTCGTGTCCGTTCAAATTGGGTTATTTGCCACTACCATTTTTTAAAACTTTTGCCGTTTTCGATGTTTACCTTGGGTAATTTTCTCTTTCAATACTTTGATTATAGTGCGGTCTTCCTTTCTTGCAAGATTTAACTTCAATGATAATGTCTTTAATTATTTGGTTCGCAATTAATTCCGCCTTTGATAGAAATCACTAGTAAAAATTAAATAAGTTTATTTTCAGAACGAATTGTTGCTTTCTTTTTCTCTCTGAAAGTGAGTAGGATAAAATTTGTTCTTATAGCATAATAATCTTTCGAGTTAGAGTTTTTCAGCGCCAGCAAACTGGCTTTTTTCTAAGAAATCATCATGAGATAATATTAATCGTAACTAGATTTTTCACCACAGATTTTATAATTTCAAATATGTTGTACAGAGATTATCGTACAGTGAAACACGTGCATGAATAAATAACGTTTGAAATGTTTTACAATTTTCGTTATAAAACATGGAAGTCGTGGAAGACATGGAAGAATTGGAAATGGAAAACCTTACTTCGGGCACTATCATACCATTCTCCGAAGTTACTATTCTCACCGCTCTTGTGTTTGCATTAGTTGTGATTCGCGGCACAAGTCTTCTTTACTTTAAATACGTACAAAATGCAGCAATACAAAAAAAAAAGAACGTGACACTTGTGGTTTTGGGTGATATTGGGCGGTCACCGAGAATGCAGTATCACGCGTTGAGTTTTTCTCGAAATGGCTGGCATGTTGACTTTGTAGGATATGATGGTAAAATTCTTTCTTCGAGTCGGTAAAGGTAAATAGAAAGTTAATCAAGTATATGATTGAAATTATGCAATAGGCTCGACGCCGATGACAGCTATCACGGACAACAAGAACATTAAAATTCATCATATTTCTCATCCATGGCGTCTTCCCGAATTTTTCCCAAAGATATTGTTTCTTTTATATGCACCTATAAAAGTATACGCACAAATGTTAACATTGTATTGGACGCTCTTGTGGCGTATCAATTCGCCGGATTTTGTGTTAGTTCAGGTTAGTATTAAAAGGGGTGGTGAATTATATTTACATGTGCAGAAATTAACGGTCTTTTCGTGTTAATAGAACCCGCCTTCTATTCCGACTTTATTGATTGTACAATTTGTTGTTTGGCTTCGACAAACGAATTTAATTGTTGATTGGCACAATTTTGGGTATACAATTCTAGCACTTCGACTTGGGGAAGATAATTCAGTCGTCAAATTTGCAAAATGGTTTGTGTTTGCAAAGGTTTGTTTTCTACTGTAAGTGTCCTTTGTGAGCACACAGTAACAAATCTTATTTCTCGTGATATTGAATAAAAGGCATGAAAAAGTGTGGGGACGTAGAGCTGTTGCTCATTTGACAGTAACGGCGGCTATGCACCGCGAATTATTATATAAATGGGAGGTTGAGTAAGTAAGAAAAAATACATTAACCTCTTATATAACTCTTTGATCTCATATGTTAATTAATTTTTAATAACAAAGCGGCAAAGTTGCTACTTTATATGATCGACCACCTCAACATTTTAGGAGATTAGAATTGGATGAAATACACGAGGTAAAATAACTGTTTATCATTATGCAATCATCTCACTAAATGAAAATAATTGATCGAAATGTTTATTGCTTTAGTTCTTTTCAAGAATCAATCTAGAAGATATTATAACATTACAATCCACCGGTTCTTCCACATTTTTAACAGACTCTTCTAGCGATAGTTCGACTTTATTCACTCACAAACCATCACCCCAAGAGCCTGCGCGATTTAGATCGGATCGACCGATTCTGATAGTTAGCAGCACGAGTTGGACGGCAGATGAAGATTTTTCGATATTGCTACGGGCTGCACAAAAATTTGATGAGGTTGCTAAAAGTGGCGGTGCTAAGACATTTCCAAAGTTGCTTTTTGTTATAACTGGGAATGGGCCCTTGAAAGAAAAATATATGCAGGATATCAGTCGGTTACCATTGCAACATGTGAGAATTGTAACCATGTGGTTGACAGCCGAGGATTATCCATTGTTATTAGGTATATTGGTCTTAATTAAGGGTGATCCATTTATTCGCTTTACGTAATGGATAAGATGATTATACTAAAAGATTATTATATTATCAAATTAGGATCAGCCGATTTAGGAATTTCTCTGCATAAATCCTCGTCGGGGATGGATTTGCCCATGAAAGTAGTTGATATGTTTGGGTGTGGGTTGCCTGTTTGTGCGGTCAATTTTCAATGGTAAGAAATTACCGAATATAGGATCAAGTAGCTGATTTCTTTATTCATTGCTCTTAACCGTATTATTCGCGTATCTATTATTAGTCTTGATGAACTAGTGCGTCATAATAAAAACGGTTTAATATTCAATGATGCAGAAGAATTGGCTAAACAGTTGATTGTAAGTAAAACGCTCATCCTGTATAGGCGCTGTAAATTTATAGTAATGTTTATTTGTTTTACTAGGATTTATTTGCCGACTATCCTGTGAATGCCTCGAAACTAGATAGTATGCGCGAACACATAAAAGATTTTCAGAAAGAGCGATGGGACTCTAATTGGGATCGCGTGGTCTTGCCAATATTATCTGAAGAAGATTAGAATGCTGCAGTGGAATTACTTTGGATTTGGATTGTTTAAAACTACAGTCAAACCTCGATATAACAATATGGTCAGGATAATTAATAAATTTTATTGTTTTGGATTAGTCATCGGTATATCGAGGTTTGAATGTATTAATACGGAGAATCCCTAAATTACCCTCTAAAGTGCACCCTTCTAACCTGATTCCGAATTTTAATTATTTATTAAATAATCACCTCAAAAATATACTGTCTCTTAGGAAGGAGGTTTGCACTTGGAGAGGTTTGTCTAATAAGATATAAAATCATTATTTCCTGATATAGTAGTAGCAGATCTTGTCATTAGTACGTTCTATTTCTATTGGTCAAATTGATTATCCATTGTTTAATGAGTAATTTCACTTCCCGAACATTTTTTTCGTCACAGAATGTTATTATCTCGTGCTATAAAAAGTTCTTTTAAACCACATTTAGATTCTAGACACTCTTCGAAATCATCATACCATATTATTGGTTCTGTTATTACTCGCTTTCCAGCTCTCTATACACGTACGTTAGCACCCTCCACCTTATTAGCTCGCGAAATTAGCACAACCTCCAAGACAGAACCACCAGCAGC